GATGATGCGACTTAGTATCTTGCTTGGAATGGACAGAAGCATAATTCCACGCCAGTTTTTACATTGACTTAAGTCTCCTTTCTTTGGAAGTTTGAATAAGTAACTGTTCTTCCAATCCTCGGGTACTTTGCCCTCTTTCCACACCTTCTCCAGCAGTGGTGTCATCAAGTCCGCTGTTGTCTCTGGGTCTATTTTCAAAGCCTCTGCTGGGATTCCATCTGGTCCCGGTGTTTTCCCAGCTTTAAGCATCTTGATTGCATTCAGGACTTCTGATTTCGTCGGGGGGTCAGTGTTCACTGGTAGTTCTGCTTCCGTTGTTGGTATTGCTGGACGTGTTGTAGGTGGCGGACGATTTAGAAGTCTTTTGAAGTGTTCAACCCAGTGCTTTCTCTGTTCCACCTCTTTGGTGATTGACTTTCCATTGTCGTCCTTTATTGGCTTAATCTGTGTCGAACGTTTGCCCGAAAGGTTCCTAGTTGTTTGGTAGAGTGTGGCGAGGTCTCCTTTGCCTGCAGCTTGTTCTGCTTCGTTTGCCATGGTTTCATAATATTTTCTTTTGTCTTCCCTGGCACTTTTCTTCACTCTTTTGTTCAGTGTATTGTAGCTTGCATTCAGCTCCTGTTTTTGTTGCTCGTCCGTGCACTGGATAATCTTTTGCTTCACTGTCCTTCTCTCTTCTATTAGTTTCCAAGTGTCCGTAGTGAGCCACTGTTTGTCCTGTCTCTTTTTTCTGCCTAGAATTTCTATGCAGGTTTGGCTCCACACCGTTTTCAAGTTGTTCCAGTGCTTTTCAACGCCGACCTCTTCGCTAGTGTTGATTTGTGTCTCGACTTTGTCCTTTATGCTTGCAATGAAGATGTCCTTTGTAGCCTGGTCCTTCAGCTTTTGAGTGTTGAACTTGGCTTGTGGTCTATCTGCAGCTCCTGATTCCCTGAAAGCTTTTAATTTGATTTGGATTGTCCCTTGTACGAGATAGTGGTCTGAGCCAACGTCTGCTCCTCTTCTTGCTTTTGTGTCCAGTAGGCTGCGCCTCCACTTCCTTGAGATTGAGATGAAGTCGATTTGGTTTTTGGTTTGCCCGTCTGGTGACACCCATGTAGCCTTGTGGATATCTTTGTGCTTGTATACACTGCCACCAATCACTTACGGAAGCCTTCGAAGTGAGAACGGGAGTGAGGCAAGGCTGTCTACTATCACCAATGATCTTCCTGATTGCAATTGATTGGATAATGCGACAGACAACGGCAACCAACGAGGGAACAGGCATAAAATGGACTGACACAAAAGACTTGGAGGATCTGGATTTCGCCGATGATATATGTCTGATTTCCCATAAACTGGAAGATATGCAAGTGAAAAGTAACAAGTTGGCAGAAGAAGCATCAAAGATAGGACTTCACGTGAACATAGATAAAACAGAGATAATGAAGATTCCTAGCCAACATCAACAACACCAACAGACCACAATAAGCATAAATGGGAAGAACCTGAAAGAAACAACCTCCTTCACCTACCTGGGAAGCATCGTCTCAACTACAGGCGGAACCGACGAGGACATCAAAGCCAGAATCGGAAAAGCAAGACAAGCTTTCATTACTCTCAAATCTGTGTGGAGGTCAACAGCAATCAGCATCAAAAATAAGATCCGGATTTTCAACTCCAATGTGAAGTCAGTGCTACTATACGGATCAGAGACTTGGCGAGTCATAAAGAGAATCTCAAACAAACTTCAAACCTTCATTAACAACTGTCACCGTTCAATACTCAAGATCAGATGGCCAGAAAAGATCAGCAACAGGGATCTCTAGGAGCGAACCAACCAGGAACCGATTGTGAAACAAATAGGCAGAAAGAAATGGAGATGGATTGGCCATACGCTGAGGAAACCATCAAGTGACATCACTAGACAAGCCCTCGAGTGGAACCCGAAAGGGAGGCGGCGAGTTGGTCGTCAGTGCAAGGGTGACTTGGAGGAGGTCATGCGAGGAGGAGATGAAAGCATGTGGACAGACCTGGAGCAGGTTGAAAAAGTTGTCAGAAAACCGAAGTCAATGGAGGTGCGCAGCTGAAGCCCTATGTTCCTCTAGGAACTAAAGGATACAATAATAATAATAATAATAAGATAGAAATGAAAGGAAACAACTGGTGCAAAATAGTTCATGAATATTTTAACCAATCGATTCGTTTCAAGATCTCGAAATCCTCACATCACTTACATCTAGCATAAAAATCTGATAATGGTGTGTAAGTATGATAATTGCATTACTGTTTCACTGTGAAGTCTTCCTATCGTAAATGAGTTGCTTTTGTGGAATAGGTATACCGTTTCTGGTAACATGCGCTAATGTTTTGATGTTTTGTGGAAAATTCTCACTGGGACATCAAATCAAGTGATTCAGCTAAGAGACTCTTTTCAACCGATTTATTATCAAGCTGTACAATCGTGTACATATGGTTTTATGAAATTATATCCGGTGAGGGATTTGAATCGTAGGTGTGAATGTATAAACTAATAATAGTATGAAATGCAATTAAAACTAAAGTGTTTGTGATTATAATCATGGTTAAATATCAAGTGGCAAAACAATTAATGTCATATACAGAATAATTCAGAGGATGTAAAGAACTTGGAAGCAGTGTGAAATTGTAGGATTAGTAAGCAAAGAGAATAAAAATAAAAAACATCATGTAACATTGTGTGAAACTTGCTAACATAGAATTTAACGTTGCAAAACAAAATTGATTTAGAATGACAAGTGGGACAAATGAAATAATACCGGAGCCAATCCAAAATGAGAATAATAGTAGTAACATATGAATATATATATATATATATATGTGTGTGTGTGTGTTGGTGGCACATCGGTTAGGACGCTTCCTGACCATGCACATGATTCGGGGTTCGATCCCCGGCCGACACACTCCTTTGTTTTGCTAAGCAAGAAATAAATCTGATAAAGAGGAAATGTTGGGCATGAGGCCAGCAGCCTTATTCTGTAGAAATAAACACTGCTACAGAAATTTCAAGCCTCTAGCTTGAAGCCCTCCCTATGTTCCACCGGGAAATGTGAAGGAATAAAAGAAAACTGATAATCAGGATGACGAAATGTACTCTTCTCAACACAATATATGCTAAAGGAACTCACTGACCCGATATAAGTTTATGCACTAGGCTTCAAGCCACACTGAATGCGTAATACCCCTTATGATACCATCAAGCTATTCAGGCCAAAGGAGATGTGGAGAGTTGTGGTTAAACCGAAGACTCAAAGGATGGAAGTGAAACTCAATTACGGGTACAATTTTATTTTGATAAAATCAAGGTGTGACTGACTACCTTGATGTGATTATGACCTGTAATAAATTGTGCTCGAAACGTCATCAGTAAATATTACTGTATAACACTGTGTAATTTTATCGAAATAAATTTTGTCCAAAATGGAGTTATACTCTACCACAGTGTTCAAGTTTTATCCTTATATCGATGGAAGTGAACAGTTTACCTTAATGAATCACCTCTTAAGAATGAAGTGTCACTTCAAAATACATTTACAGTAGTACTTAAATTTTGCACTACAACTTATTATTCATTCCATACCATGTATAAAATGTATAAACTTATAGTAGTCTGGTCACTGGAAACCTATAAGTACGAACAAAAAAATATCTGGATTCGGTCACTTTATGTTACTCATAAAATTTTTAGGGAGTTGCAGTAAACAGGCACAGTTATGCTTTGTCTATCTTTAGAATGTGGACCATAGATACTAAATAAGGAAAGTATCTGAAATGATTAACAGTATGTAAACATAGGAACTACTTGTTAATAAAGTTTAACTGGTGAGAAAATACCTTAATCTGAACAGTTGCATACATAAGATAGAATCATCAAGCAATGAAAATAACATCTACAGATCCAGGAGTCCAGATGTACAAGGAAACCACAGACTTCAAAGCGATACACACTGCGCCTCTGATAATTGCTATTTTCATTATCCAAAGGATAAGTTTGGAGTAAAACAAACCGAACTCAAGACATTAGCACAAGTTACCAGAAACGGTATACCTATTCCACAAAAGCAACTCATTTACGATAGGAAGACTTCACAGTGAAACAGTAATGCAATTATCATACTTACACACCATTATCAGATTTTTATGCTAGATGTAAGTGATGTGAGGATTTCGAGATCTTGAAACGAATCGATTGGTTAAAATATTCATGAACTATTTTGCACCAGTTGTTTCCTTTCATTTCTATCTTAAGTAGGCTGAATCTATGAAAATCTCAACAGGCTGATTGTTGATGAAATTTCAGCACAGATAGAGAAGGCTCGTGTGGCATTCCCCAAACATACGCTATGGATCAAAGGACCTATGTACTGTCCGCTCCGTCCTTCTTTATTGCCAGAGACATGGCTATTGAGAGTGGAAGACATGAAACGGTTGGCTAACTGTCTTTATCATATATGGTTATTCTTTTACATGAATCAGTTACCGAATTACTAAAATATGCACCCGTATAAGCCCAAATGTGCATCAAAATCTTTTGATTGAGTGTGCGATCTGGTGACTAAGTGACAGTACCACTATGGCGTGGTTTTCATGTATTATTATTGCTAGAAGTTAATCAGCAGGGATTCCTGACCCCATGCATTACACAGAAGTATCATGTGCGCGTAGTTGTGATTCTTAAAAACTGACTGATGGTGAACTGCAGTCGGTTCGTACTAATTTACTTATTTATAGAGGGCAGTTGATACCTGAATATATTAGTAGTGGATTGTCTTACTGATAAAGAAAAAACAACACTAAGTGCCAAAAGGTACAAAAATGTAAACTCACCTCGTTTCATAATTGACTCCTAACATCTAGTTCAAATATCTTGAGTTGAAAAAAATTTCATACTTTTTTTCTAACGTTTTTCTCCATCTAATTATTTATTCTGGTTATTTATGTATATATATATATATATATATATATGTATATTCTATTGAAAGGTTGATATTTCACAAATGTGTGTATTGGAATTTATCAATCGACCAGACAAACCTTTATACCATTTGGAACATTTCATAGAGGGAACGTATCGAAAGTATAATTCTAATTCAGGTTTTGTGGATGATTTAGCCAGAAACACTCCACAGGTAAATCTTATACATTATTCACACTTGTCCTTTTTTTTGCTTTTTAATGCTCAACTTTCATACAAATATTTTGATATTGTTTTTGATTTTTTTTTGATTTTTGATTTACAGCTTGATTCCACACTGTATTTTTGGTACAAGTATGGAATTTTCAGCATGGATATCGGTAGCCCAAATTTTGCAGGCCGACCATAGATATCAGGTGTGCGCCGGCGTGGGCTCGAACCCCGGACCATGTGCATGGTCGGCGAGAGTCCTAACCACTGTGCCACCGACGCACATAGTCAGTTATTTGATTCGGTCTTAATCATCCAATAACTGGGATATAAGTCATTCTTAATTTTGTTTTTTGCGGAGGGGGGTAGTGAACTACCTAGCTGCTACCTAGTTGGGCTAAAGTAGATTGAGCGTGACTCAAACCCCGAGACCCGTTGACTTAAAGTCGAGTGCTAAAACCGATGTGCCACATGAGATTTTTCTAAAATAATAATATTAACAGCTTTATTCCAAACGGTATTTGTGGTACAGGTATGGAATTTTCAGAGTGCATTACAACATATTGTATCTAATTTCCTCATAAATTTTATAAGATTTTTAAAAGTCAAAAAAATAAATGAATAAAAAAAGAAAACCAACGCCAAAACAAAAAAAAATAAAAGATAAATAAACATTAAAAAAACAGTGTAGCGTTTACATTTCAAACAATGAACTACAGGATATGAAATATACAGTTGATGTGTGATAGAAGATGTGAACAACAGTGTAATGATAACGAGGAAAGGAAAACAAAAACTGATGGGACTATTTGTTAGAGTGCCGCAGTATGTTGATCGTGTCATACCTAACGGATTTCTCATCACATAACACCTGTGCCAGATATGGTATTGTGGAGTTTTTGTACTTGGTAGTCCTAGCATATAGCCAGCCTCCTATAGCTGCTTCTAGTTCTACCAGATGAAATGCAAGGAGAGAGCTGAGTATAGAGAGGATGCTCGTGGTCTGACAATATTGTATTCGTTAGTTTCTTACATGACATTATATGTCTATCCACAATAGTGTTAACCAGTTGGTTTAACGATATCCCACTTGCCCTACTAACGGCTTTTAGTGCCCTTCTCAGCAAAGCAAAGTCTTTCTTAAGTAGTACAGGAAAGATTAATGGGGAGCAGTAAAGAGGCATGGGTAGAATACAAGAATTGACAAACTGAGAAAGCAAAGACTGCTTTACACCAGATTCCCCTAACTTCATAACGTACAATGTTAAGCGAAACATCTTACTAGTAACTAGCAAGATGTGGGAGGACCAGGAAAGATCGGTGGAAAAACTCAGCCCAAGGTACTTGACATTAGATGTATTTTCAACCTCTGTGCCGTCAATGATAGTGGGGTCATGTGAGCTAACTAGTTGCTGTAGGTCACGTTTACGTCTGAAAGTGAAATTGACTGCCTGACATTTAGACGGATTTAGCTTAAGGCTGCTTGATGAGGGCCACTGACTAATTTCCAACAGAAAGTTATTTAATTTGGAACAATCTGACTGAGAGTTGACAGGCATAGAAACAGAGAGGTCATCGGCATACTTAACAAAAGTGGCTACATCAGATTATCGATGTAGTGGATGATGATTGCGAAAGTGAAATGAAAATCTGAGTTTCACCAGGATTCTAAATAATGGCTGTCGAACTCCATTCGACACTTAGAATACGCGAACATTTTATCATTCAACTTTTATGTTTTTTTCTTTCCCTTCTTCTGTGTTCCGAGTGGAACTTATATCCCCAAGCTTTAAAGTTTCAGTAGAGTTGGTGTTGTTTTTATGGGGGTGGGGTTGGCTAACCTCACACCCAACCTTCCCTCTTTTCTAAGCTTACTACAGGTTAGTAAACTAGGCGGGAACTGAACCCTTGCCTTCCACGTGGCTGGCGGGTATTCTACAACAGAACTCACACTCAACTTCTAGATCAAAGTTTAGTGTTATTGAATTACAGTCCATTTTTCCCATAACGTCATCCTCTGTCCAGTAACATCAGTGGGGAAATACTCTTAAAAGCAGTAGGTGTCTTTCAGTTTGGTTCATTTAATTAAATTCAGTTTGTAAAAATTGTCCTAGCCAACAAAAGCAGAAGTCTTTAATGCACTCAAGCTACTGAAGGCCAGGAAGGCATCAGAGCTAGATGGAATTCCTGGGGAAGTACTGAAAACAGACCCAGAGACTGTAGCAGACATACTGACTTCTCAACTGCAAAAAGCTCTGAAAGAAGGATAGGTGCCTACTGGTTGGGAGAAGGGCTACCTTGTCAAACTACCAAAGAAGAGCGACTTAGGCCTCTTCATAACCGGCGCGGAAACATCCTCATATCCAAGTGAAGCGAAATACTAAGTGGCGTCATCTTGGAGAGAATGAAAAATGCTCTGGATGTAGAGGTCTACCCCGAAGAAGCTGAATTCATGAAAAGCAAATCCTATGCGGATCAAACAGTAGCTCTACGCATCATCATCGAACATAGCATAGAATGGCAGTTAAACCTCTATCTGAACTTCATCGAGTTTGAAAAGGCTTAGCAACAGTGTACTCTGATAACGAACCAATGAAGAACCTACCACCCAACAAATATACCGAAGAGAATCGAGATGGGTTGGGCAAACGCTGAGGAGACTGCCAAATGAAATTGCCCGCTCGGCTATTGCTCGAGTGGAAAACGAACAGTTGGGCCTGAGTCCGAGGGTGACATGGAGGATATGGTGCCAGTAGGAGATGAGCAGGACTTCTGAGAATAGCACAAACTGGAGATGTGCTGGTAAAGCCCAATTTTGCTCTTGGAACTTAAAGGAAGAGTAGATAAAGGACTGTAAAATACGCAAATCGGGGCAGATGATTTCTTACTATTCGTCTGATGACCACCTGTAACTCTTTTAGGGCTGATAATGGATAAATCACGGATATGGATTGCTGACAAGTGCCAATATGCACGAAAATCAAGTCCATGGCTCTCTGCTGATTGCCTGCAACCAACTAATAATAAAGAAATCATTTGGTTGGTAGAGATCTTCCTTTGAAAACCGATGGTAACAGTTGGCGAACCACTGAAAAACCAGAGTAAAATGCCTACCTGCCAGTACAACCTTCACCTATATGCCTAATGATGTCCTTTTGTGGTAGAATCTATCTGCTGTTGTTAAATATATTTCAGGCTATTATCTATATTTCACGATTGCATTACATCTCATACAAACTACAAGCTTATAGGGAGATAAACCTTAAAAACAGAATTGTATTATGTGGAGCAAATATGACAGATTATAACGTATGAATGTACATAAGAAGAACACTTTTGATATCGTTGACAAGCCGACGCAATTGTTTCACATTCAAAACTATATCAAATGGAAGAAGCGACAACAGAGAAGACAGAGCTAAGATACTGCAATAAACATTACATCGGTCAAAGTGGGCGTTCCCTTCGAATCAGAATCCAAGAACACAAATTAGCTGTAAAAAGGTATGATATATATTCTTTCATATCGATGCATATAGATAATTATGGATACTAATCTGATCGGGAAACACTAAAAGTGCCAGAGAATTCCTAGAAGCCTGATACTCAAGCGAATCAACAATTAACAAGCATATTAATATATATATATATAGACCAGATTTACCAACTAATAAAAAGTTAATCACGTGACAGGAAAGTCTGTCTGTCTCTCTGTCTGTTTTCGACATAGAACTTTGCACAAATGTGCGGAAGTTCAAGTCGCCAGGAAAGTTCAAATTCCAAGTCACTGAAAAATGATCAGTACAGATGTAAATCGACTACAAGTCACGAAGATGGTAGCTAGGAGACGCAATTCTATAATTCATGGAGAATTCAAATCAGTTCATTTTATGCTGAAACTTGCACTGAAACGGGGGGGGGGATGTTGTCCAGAAAGACGACGAGAGCTTCGCAATTAAACCGAACAGCTCAGAGAACACCACTGATTCAAAATTATCCGCCTGAGCTACAAATCTTCTCTATTATACCACCTTTATGGTCAAACTCATCAACTGTGGAGAATATGTTGCATTGAACAAAGCGAACATCTTCATTTTCGCATTAATTTGCTACTGATATCCTTCAGTAGGCATCACTTAAGTAGCCGATCATCTGATTAACAAGGCAACCTCTTATGTTTGTTTTACTGCTATCCACCATACTGCGTAGCGAATGAACTTAATTTCATTCACAACTCTCCCCTTGTATCTCATCAGGAAAAACCAGAAGCCTATGTGGAAAACTATATGCTCACACAAGCAAGTACAAAAACTCAACCATACCCCACTTGGCTCGTGTTCTGTGCGATAAAGAAAGCATTAGACGTGATACCTATAACTTATTAAATAGTCAGTAGAACAACTGGATCTCGTCTTTCTAACTCATATCATTTATAGGTACAACGTTTTCTTTCTTTCTTTCTTTTCCTTTTCTATCTTTTTTTCTCTGTTATGTGCTGCTTTGTTTCTTTCTTCTGCTTACGCCAGTAAATATGCTAGTGTAACAACAGAAGACAAGGGCTGGCAACAGATCGTTTTATTACGAAAATCAACACGTATTTATACATATTTTATGTGCATTAATAAGGCTTACGCAAGCAGAAAAAGGCAGTCTTCTGACTGGTTGTTTTTCGGAAGTTAAGCAGACAAACACAGTCTTATGATTGGTTGTTTTCGATATTTCTCGGAAAGTAGAGCCATCTATCTGCGAATCATATTTGTCCACATTTAAGTTTGCTGTGATTGGTTGTTGAAACAGCCTTGTTCATATTTTCTCACGGCCCATGTTAGTGACCTAGACATTAACGTAGATTAGTGTCAACCAATCGGCTAGCAGCCTGCTCTTACCACACTAGTAGTATCTACTTTTCTAACACCTTCAAACACTGTTTAATTTTGGCTTTGCTACCGACATGCCAATATGTTATTATCAAAACTAACTGAGATTCCCTTTAATCTATGTAGAATTTTATTTATTGTTAATGCACAAACTGGATGTAATACCGTAGTGAAATACTGAGAATTCCATTCTGCAACACAAGTACTGTTTTGGAATAAAGCATATTATTATTAATAAAAAAAGTTATTTTGAAATCTTGTTGTTGAGTCGTGTATCATTTCTTTGGTGTGTAGTGTTCAATGTAATAATAATGTGTATGCTTACCAAATTGTATTTAATATATTTAGTTCTAGTTTCTGTGATTAAACTCTCTTTTCTCTCTCTCTCTCTCTCTTCTATGGTTTCATTTCATGCCTTAGGCTTTCAGTCATTTCACATTTGAACGAAGCGGTCATCGTTTAATAGTTGTCGATATACAAGGTGTTGGTAATCTTTGGACAGATCCACAAATACATACATTCGATGGTAAATCCTATGGAGATGGAAATTTAGGCATACGTGGAATGGCTTTATTTTTTCATACACATCGATGCAATCCGTTATGTGTAGCATTGGCGTTAAGTCCATTTGATTTACCAGATAATGAAAAATATTCAAAACCATTTAGTCAAACAGTGACGGAGGCAGATAATCAAAATGACGAGAATACACAAAGTTGTAATGATGATTGTGTTAGTGTAAGTTGCCTTCTTTGCGCTTATTATTACATTTCAAAAGAATGTAGCCTACACTACTGCATACATTATTTTTGCTTAATTTTTTTTTCATTTGAAAGCTTTTCAGTATCAATAATATTTTCATAAACAACTGAGTAGGGTGGAGGATGGATTCCCGCCAAATGTAAGATGAATCTACGGGACTGGGCTACACTGACTCCTAGCTTAAAGATACGGAGCAAAGTGGTAGCTGAGTGTGTCGACCACTTCGCTTATTTGGGAAGTTGCATCAGCCCCAACGGGTTGATCGCTAACGAAATCTCGTGTGGCATATCCCAGCTTACTCCATCTGTGGCGTAGACATGATATCCGGTTGGTTGTCGGCCAAAGGGCGTGTATACTCCTCACCAGTTCGCTCAGTCCTCCTTTATGCCTGTGAGACATGCTCACCGAAAGTTGAAAATAAGAGAAAAGCTAGGTGACCATAGATGCCAGCGCTCTAGCCCATGTGTTATATTGTATAATACACTGAGTAATATTGAGGTTATGCTTCGGTCGAGTGTTAGGCAGGGAGGGAGGGAAAGTCAATCGACGAGGTTGTAAAGCTACACCGATTGAGATAGGTAGGGCATGTGTTACGCATGACTAGCCGTCTCCTTCCTCAATGTTATCTGACATAGGATTGATCAGGTTAGAAAAGAGGAAGCTAGTGGTGGTAAGACGAAAACATGGCTTCATCAGTCAATGAAATCCACAATAGTTAGTTTAAGCCACGCAGGTTGGTGTAGACTGCTAGATTGGTTTGGGTTCTCGAAATGCTAAGAATCAATGACGTCTGGAGACAATTGGTAGCATGGCTCAAAATCGTCGTCATTGATGGCACATGTGCATTCACTCCTTGTGAAACTATATGGTTCTTCTCCATCACTGTTATCTTGGCCACATATTTCTGTTTATTATCTCTCTTTTGAATCTCTCTTCACTCTCTTCTCTTACTTTGTTTGCTAAGTGGAGGGAGAGTGGCAACTCGAACTGCTGCATATGATTGCAAAATTCTATGTTGAAACCAGTCAGGTAGTCGTTCTGAGGGTAGGTAGACTTTGGTCTTTCTCTCGAATTGCTTTCATGTCACTAAGCTTTCATAACCTCTGCCAGGCAATTCCTATCCACCACCTTTATGTAATGAAAGGGTTCCTGACAAAAGTAAAAGAATAGAAATGGGAACATATAGTGCTTACAACCAAGGGGAGGGCTAGATAAGCCCTCATTCAGAACCTATGGTGTACATGGGCTAGAGAATCCGAGCGGATCGAATAGCGTATGAAACCGATTTGGTCACCGAAAAACATAAGAACTCTGTTACACGCCTCCATAAGTCAGACTTCAAGTTAAAGGCAGCATAATGTTTCGGTCTGGGCCGCTGGGTAAATATCTCAGCCCAGTGACGCATCTTTTGTTCCCCGTTATGTACCGAGTTAGTGTTTTAATAATAATACATATGGTTTAGAAAATCACTGAAAATTAGTGGGCTCTGAATCGATGTTTCGCCCTAGTTCATAACTTTTCAACAGTATGTACTGATCTACGTCTACAAGACCTCGTGTCTGTCACGTTAGGATTCAACCACTAGATCGGAACTCAGTGATTCGATTTCTAACTTATATCGTTTTACAATATATACCACAAACTAGTGTTTAATGATACTCCATTCTTAGTGAACAGTGAGTCAGAGATTTTTTGAACATTTCCCTTCATTATGTATTTGCTGTACTATTCAAGTAATCGGTCTATGGCAAATTGATCGGTTACAGGATTTCATCACGTGCGGACATCGATTAGAAAAACATTAGAAAATCACCAGGGAGTACTGAATAGCCGTTTCATCCTAGCTTAAGACTCTCCAACAGAACGCACCCACCACCAGGGTTTCAACCTACGACCTTTCGGATGCAAGGCGAGCTTGTAGACCATTAAACCAATAGGACTCGACCCAGTGAAGGGCCCATGAATTCTGAATTCTGCCAATTCACGATATAACGCGACCATTTCGTTCAGTTTATCAACATTTACTGTTGTTTTTTTCCCTGTCAAAACCGTTTCACTAAAATGTTGGAACTTAGAATAAGAGATAATGGCTGAATATATGTTTAAAACTACATACGACTGATTGATTGATTGAAATGGATAGTATGCCACTCACATCAACCAGTTGGACTTGCTAAACGGACCGAGGCGATCTAAGCATACTATGTCTGCAACCATCAACTGTTGTCATTCCGGGCGAGGGGTCCACTACAGTACAAAGAAGTGAGGAACACTATGTTTTTCGTAGATTTCTGTTCACTTCCTTTAATTGACTCTGAATGTTGGGTCTATTGAGATGTTGTGACAAGTCTGTCTGTTTTCGACATAGAACTTTGCACCGATGTGCGACAGTTCAAGTCGCCACACTCCCTCCTTGTAGCACACAAAGCAACATAACATAACAATTTCGCTTTATTCCAGAAACAGTACTTGTGGTACAGTGTGGAATTTTCAGCACATATCTACAATATTGCATCTAATTTCATCGTACATTTAAAAGGAGTATTATAAAAAAAATAAAATATATAAAAAAAAACCAAAAAAAGAAACACAGAAATAACCAAAAAAAAAATGCAAATGAAAATACTGAGTAAAAAATGAAGATCAACACAAATAATGAAAAAAATATTTCAGTATTAGTTAGTGGAAGCTACGATATGTGTATGCGTGGTGAACAGTAACAGCTATAATCATACGGGAAATTATGAGATGTTCTTAAAAAATGTTTATAGCCAAGATGATCAGTTAATTTGATTGAACAACACTAAGCAATCATAAGATAAACATTTCAGGTTGTTTTTTTTTTGTCAGTACTAATGCGGTTGTTTGTAGTGGTAGTGTGAGGAATCATGCATAATACAAAATTTTTAAGATGGTGATAGTGGCAATAACAAACAAGATTGTCAGTTAAATAGTGCCGAACAAAGAACAACCACAAAACTAATGTTACATGATGGTTAATGACGGGACAATTTTTAATAATCATAGTGATAATATAGTCGGACCCAGTAGATGTACAAAAGAAGGAATAGAGTAAAGTACAAAAAAAGTAAGCCAACGGTAATTAATTTTAAGCAGCTAAGTATGTTTAAGAAGGTTGTTCACTATAGAGTACAAATAAGAGAGTGTAAGGGGGAAAAAACAAGGGCCAAAATTATGTTATTAACAACAAAGCAAGTCATAGGTTTCACGCCTAACATTGTCTCTGTCACTTAGAACACGGGCCAAATATGGTATTGTTGAGTTCCTATACTTGGTTGTGCGAGCATATATTATTTTATACTGATTTCTGGTTCTACCTGATGAGATGCAGGGAGAGAGTTGGGAATAGAGGGGGTGTTGGGGGTCAGAGAGTATGGTTTTAGACCATTTCTCACATGTATTCAGATGCTTATCCACTAATGTTGTGACGAGCTGACTGAGTTTTACACCGCTAGTCCTGCTAAGAGAAGAAAGTACAAGAAATACCTAACAGAGACAGTAAACAGAGGTTTGAGACAAAGGAATAGTAATAACGAAGAAGGATATAGTTTCATTGGATATTATAAGTCGCAAGGGGTGGATGCATCTGCACCAGTTAGCTATTCAGAACGATTTTGAGCCATATCACCAATTGTTTCCAACCATTGGTTTTTACCGTCCCAAGGACACCAACCAGTCAGGAAGTCTACACCTTCCTACGTGGCTTAGACTAACTGTTGTGGATTTCATTGACTGGTGTCATGTTTCGCTTTGACCACCACTAGTTAACTCTTTTCCAACCTGACCCTATGTCAATTAACATTGCCCGTTGTCGAGGAAGGCGATGACTAGGCATACGTACCACATGTTCTAACCATCTCAGTCGATGTAGCTTCACAGCCTCGTCGATTGATTTCCCCTCCCACCTACCTAGCACTCGACCGAATCCTAACCTCAATATTGCTCACCTTATTATACCACCTCACACGGGAGATAGAGCGCAGGCACCTATGATCAAAGACAGCTAATCTTTTCATGTCCTCCACTCTCAATGGCCAGGTTGTGACAAGTACTAACGAGGTGTTCAGTTATAGCGCTTCTAACTGAACCATTAGTAATTACCACTGTTATTTTATGAATACAATTACCTTGTTTTATTGATGAGTGTTTTTCGGGGTAAAGTAACTTATTATTTTTATTATTTATTCGGCGTTCAGAATTATTTGGATTTGGTGATACTAATTGTGTTAAGTGATTTACTGCAGACAATGTTGTTTCCAAGATATGTTATTGTCACAAACTGTGTTACCAGCTGGAGAAGCATGAAAAACCAGAGTCCCGTGGACCATCTATCTCATCCCAATTTGACTCTGTTTACTAGTGTACAAATCTACAAATCTGCTTAGAAGGGGAATCTGAAATCACAGGTTCTCTCATAGCGAGCTAACTGGCCTTGTCATCTAGAAATCCTCTCTAATTTATATCGATATGATTATAATTATAAATTTACTCCCGTTGAATCTCACCATATCCTCTTTACTACCCAATCTTTGCTTATTTTAATGCACACATCCTTTTGTAAACTTAGGAGGAGGTGGTGTTCAGTGGAACAGTAGCTATTCCAGCTTCTCGTCGAAATGACTATTCTTTTCGTCGACTAGTTTCAGAAAATTTAGACTCATCTGATCTACAAAATAAAAACAATCATATGACGAGTGGGCTGGCAAACAATGATTTTGTGAATCCAGCCGATTTTATGGAGTCGCACAGTTTACCATCATCGAAGTTACCCTTTCTGCCTACTAATTCTCCAATAGTAAATCGTTGTGGTATTCTACAAAGAAGTAATATTTCAAATGGTGGTATCACTACTACTGCTACGAGTAATTCGACAGCTAGTGGGAAATGTAGTGCTAAATATAATGGCAGTGATAATGGCTATTTAAATGGCAATTCTACAGATGATTTAATATTTGGTCCATTGTCTATTCATGATGTTTCATATGATTCAGGCATTAGTTTTGATACTGCTCCATTCTCTGCGAATGCATTTAAAGCACAAAACTCCATTAATGATTTCTGTCATGAACAACAATCCAGTTCAGATTTGGATCAGTCAAATTCACAATTGAGTTTCATTGATAGTGAAGGCAAACGTAGTAAGGTAAGGAGTTATTTTACTTCTAAGTGAAATATCACTATTTTTATTTGTTTATTTATATATTCATTTTTCTTTTTTTTTGTTTTGATGTGACCGTGTTCTCTGAGCTAGATAGTTAATTTGCGAAGCTTTCATTGTCCTACTAGGCATACTTCAATTTGAAGTGAGCTTTTAGATTTCTCTAGGAGTTTATTAGTCGTTTCTCGCGGCGACCTTGGGCGTGAATGGTTGTTTCTGTGTGTGTTTTCACACCCTCTAGGGTACTTGTATTGGAACTGATTGTTTCTTTGGCTTGAACTTTGACCCTTTGTGTGTGTGAGATTTTCTTCTTATCTGTTGGTAAATTTTGTCTATATCGATGTGTCCATTGATTGATGATTTACTGGAATGCCAAGCTTATAAAAAATTCTCTAGCATTCTTGTTGTTTCCTTTGTCTAATAAGATACGAAGTGAAGTGGTGACTCAGCGTGTTGACCACTTCACTTATTTGGGGGAGTTGCAGCAACCCCAACGGGTTGATCACTGACAAAATCTCAACACGGATACAGAAGGCTCGTTTGGCATTTGACAACCTGCATTATCTCTGGCGTTGACGTGACATCCAAATGTCGACCAAAGGGAGTGTGTACTGCTCAGCAGTCCGCTTTGTCCTCATTTATGGCTGGCTGCGAGTGAAACATGACCATTGAAAGAGCAAGACATGAAAATGCTGGCTAGGTGTCTTTGTTCACAAGTGTCTGCGTTCTCTCTGTGGTGTTAAGTGGTATAATAGATTAGTTAGCAGTATTGAGGTTAGGCTTCGGTCGGTTGGAGGGGGGGTAATCAGTTGACGAGTTTGTAAAGTTACACCGATTGAGATAATTAAGGCATATCTTACGCATTCGTAGCCATCCCCTTCCTCGACTGACGGTCAATGTTAGCTTACATAGGAGCTAGTAGTAATCATACCAAACATGGAATCAGTCCATGAAGTCTGTAACAGTTAGTCTGAGACAACTCAGGCACGCAGGGAGCTGTAGACTGCTTGGCTGGGTTTTTTTTTCAGGTTGATTCCACACCGTATTTTTTGGTACAGGTATGGAATTTTCAGCATGTGATATCGGTAGTCCAAACTTTGCAGGCCGACCATAGATATCAAGTGTGCGTCGGCAGGGAGTCGAACCCAGGATCATGTGCATGGTCGACGAGAGTCCTAGCCACTGTGCCACAGACGCACACAAAGTGCTCCCGCACCGGGAGTCGAACCCGGGTCGTCTGGGTGAAAACCAGGAATCCTAGCCGCTAGACCACGCGGGACGTGGGATGGTAAGAAGCAGCGGCTGGAGACAATTGGTGTAATGGCTCAAAATCATTCTCACTGGTGCAGATGCATTCACTCTTTGTGGTTTATCCAGTGAAATTCTACTGTTCTTCCAAATTACTCTTCTTTTTGCCTCATATTTCTGTTTATTATCTCTTTTGCTTTGTGTGCTACATGAATTGTGGCAACTCGAACTGCTGCATATCTGTGCATAGTTGTTCACTGAAACCAGTCAGTCTGTCAGTCAAAGCTTAGAAAGGTGAACAGGCGGTATTCTTAAGCCTCTGCTCTACTGGTTGCGATTTTAATTATGTTAATTGTCTCATGATTGTCGGTAGTTGAAATAGGTCTTTCCGAGTCAAATGACTCTTTTTCTGCAATTCACTTGTAACGGGAGAGGATAAGGGTCTTGACAGCGGATTTTTAGTATGGAAAACACATCATATTGATACACATACGCTTAGCCATATTAAAGTTCAACTAGATCAGAGGACAACAAATTTTTCTGATTGGCTGGTAAAATTGTTGGTCCAAGGTTAAACAAGTAGTTGTCCAGTGAGGTAATTTCTTGTCCATAATGCGAACTTTAATCGAGATTTGAGGAATAAACACTTTTATCTCTGCAATCATTGGTCTAAAATGGCTGCTCCTAATCAATCTGCATCACACCACACAGCAATGCATCATCATTAAATTCTATAGTCGATTATATCACCCATAAGTGATGTACATTAAGATTGTATTCCTATTGCAACACGTGTTCTGTTTGATGCTATTCTGACAGCTTCACTAATTCCATGTGTAGAATTCATGTTTCGTTTAAGATAGATGATCACGTGATGAATAAATTCCCCTGACCTTGACCCTTCAAAGTATAAAAGTACATTCGTCCTTCATTGATCATTAGATCTTATTGTCGTGTTGTTTTTTTTAATTTGTTTATTTTTGTGTTGGATTCGGTTGTTTTTTTTGAGGGTTTTCCGTTTTTGTTTTTTTCTTCTAATTTGGGAATGTAGAAGCTAACACTTACAATAGCAGTAGGTGTCATAATTGTCATTAAATCATGTGTTTCAAAAAGTTGACAATCCACGTTGATATTTGTTTATCTGACCTACTTTGTTAAATTTGATCTGCCTCCAGAAAGTGTTGTCCTGTTATTGGATTTTCACGAAGTTTGAACTTATTCGGTGCGTATTGCAGATGAATCCCAAACTGTGGGACGCGAAACATCTGTCCAGTACTCCTAGGCTTCCCAATGGTTCTTAACTTAACGTCAACTCGTGATCAAACCTGTGACCAGTAAAATCGCTGCAAACTGACACTTGATTATACGACTGCACCTCAAAAGCATAATATGCTGTATTTTGTTAACTGCAGCAATTCAGCATTTTGAATACCTGCAGTGGAAATTTAAGTTTTCAATCGGTTACTTACTTACCTACACACACACACACACACACCGTAAGTAGACTTTGTCAAATAGCCAAGAGATAGATAAGTCTGGACACAAAATACCATGAACAATAAATTGCTGAAGGAAAGTTCCTGCTTACTACTACTCCAACTTGGCAACTTAAAAAAAAACATTGCAATTAAATATCGAAAACCGCGACAGCAGGCAACGAAGAGAAAGGCATGAAATGGACCCACACAAAAACTTGGAGGATCTGTACTTCGCCCATAATGATATATGTCTGATTTCCCACAAACTGGAAGATATGCAAGTGAATAGGCAACAAGTTGGCAGATGAAGCATCCTGAGAAGATAGGCCTTCATGTGAACATAGAGAAAACAGAGGTGATGAAGATTTCTGGCCAACACCAACAGCAACAACAACAGACAATAATCGGAATCAATAGCAGGAATCTGGGAAGCATCGTGTCAACTACAGGCGGAACTGGTAAAGATATCAAATCGAGGATCGGAAAAGCAAGGCAAGCTTGCATTACTCTCAAGTCTGTGTGGAGATCAACAGCACTCAGCGCCAAAAATAAGACCCGGATTTTCAACTCCAATGTGCAGTCAGTGCTACTAAACATATGGATCAGCGACTTGGCGTCGCGTCAGGAAGAGCACTTCGAACAAACTACAGACCCTCATAAGCAGCTGTCTTCGCTCAATTGATCGCTCAAGATCTGATGTCTGGCCAGAAAAGATCAGGATCTCTGGGAGCGAACCAACCAGGAACCGATTGCGAAACAAATAGGCAGGAAAAAATGTGGATGGATTGGCCGTGCTCTGGGAAAACCATCAAGTGACATCACTCGAACGGGAAGCGGCGAGTTGGTCATCAGTGAGAGGATGACATGGAAGAGGTGATGTGAAGAAGAGATGGAAGCTTGGTGGCAGACATGGAACCAGGTGAAAATGATGACAGAGAACCGAACGCAATGGAAATATGCGGCTGAAGCCCTATGTTCCTCTAGAAAGTAAAAGAAACAATAATAATAACAATAAATGGGTAAATATTACTTCGAAGTGTTGCTGATATATTTGTAGGAGATCTTAGGTCGCTTAGGAATGCGGTTATGTAGAAATACTGTCAGTCTGAGGAGAATATCCCGACAAATCATTGCATATTGCGGTTGAGTAATGTTTAGCACCCAGCTTATGGTTATTGATGTGAATAACGTATTTTGCAAGTGAAAGCTGAGATGTTTACTACCAGTGTGTGTTTAATACATCTGAGTAACGCATGTGACAGTCGTCGTCGTCATCATCATCATCGTCACTTGGAACATTTGTGGAGAAATAAATAATTCACAAAGAGTAAATTTCATTTCCTTCAGTCCATTGGCCATGTGTTCAACCTGTGCAGCTGGATCAACATCAGTATCTTCGTAGAACTGTCGAAATCAAGGTACACCTAGTAAATAAGTAGTGAGGATGTTATGCATAAACAGTTGACTGCTTGTGCTATTCTATTTGAAATACGCCTAATCTTACAAGGCTATACGCATGTGTTTATGTGTAAATATGTGAACACTGACAGAAGCAAATGAACTAGTCAAGTTTTGAAATAGTAACCAATCAATACGCACACACACACACACACATGTATAATAACTAGATTATGGAAACAGAAGAAAACACAGATGCAAAACTAAACAAATTCTAGATAGCTTTACTTAGAAGTTCACAGGAAATTTTTAGAAAAAAATATGTACACAGCCCAATTACCACCAATTCATTATTTCAGAATAACAACTTAATTGTTGCGAATTATTTGCTATTTAGGTTGTCAAGATTAGTATTGGTGTGGAGTGTACTACTGATAAGTTTTATCAACAGCCTATGAAGAGATATTCATCAGCATAAAAAAAATGAATCTACAGGGAGATAGATTTGAGGTTAGAGAAAGCAAATGATACAGAGTTGTGGAGATACATGGGGAGACGTGAAGGGATAATAATAGCACAACACGGAAGATCTGTCCTAATGGTGCATTGAAGATTAGGTGTAAATAGTCGGGCTATGTACAGATGCCATATTCCAGATAAATTCCTTTCCCATGTCTCTGGTCTTTTACCGTTACGATGGTACACTACCATTGTTATTGTGTACAACACCATTAAAAAAAGACAAATGTTTTAGAACTGCCAAGTTGGCTAATCAGCTTCTTCTGGATATCATGATTGAATTTGGTAATCTGACGTAACAAGACAAACTACTGAGAGAGAGAGAGAGAGAGGGAGAGAGAA